GAGGTCAGACCGGACAGGGTGGTGATTTGCACAGATTCTAAAGCTGCAATAGAAAGCATTCATTCAGGAGGAAATAATAGGAAAGAGCTTGTATTCGAAATTCATCAGAGTTTGTTTAGGTTATTTAGGTATGGAATAGATGTTCAGTTCTGTTGGGTTCCAACACACGAAGGGGTGAGAGGAAATTAAATAGCAGAAAAGATAGCTAAAAAAAGCTTTAGGAAAGCAGAATATAAATCAGATTCCATTTGGGAAAGGGAAAGGTAAATCAATAATTACAAAGAAAGAAACAGAATTATGGCAAAAATATGGGATGAAAATGAGACAGAAAGGAGATTATATACGTTTCAAAAAGCTGTTATTGTTAAAATTATGGAGAAACACAGAAGGGAAGAGATAATTTATACTAGATTAAGAACTGGACATACTTATTTGAATGAGTTTTTGTTTGTACTAGGGAAGAGAAATAATGATATATGTGAGGGTTCTGAAAGAAAAGAAAATGTGGATCATGTTTTGATGGATTGCATATGCAACTGAAAGAGAGAGGATGAGGAAAGTAATTATGGAAAAAGGGAGAGATTGGAGTATTAAATTGGTTTTAGGGACAGATGGAGATAGGGAGGGAAATTTGGTTATTAATAAAGCATTGTTTTTTATTTTTACATGACACAAAAATAAAAAAATATAATTTAGTAGGTGGAACTGTAGAGCTACACACTCATGTACAGTAGGTGGCGGTATGCACCTATAAGCTGTTTGCAATCCGTCAATCTAACAAAGAAGAAGAAGAATGTTTTTCATTTGGTCGCATCTGATTGGTCGGTTTCAGCGAGTAGAGGAGTGACGCGTTTCTCGCGCGACTCACAATGTGGAAACCTGTTGCTGCATCAGTCATGGTGCTATATGTTTTAATTTGATGTATAAAAGAAAAAAAAACATTAGTTAATTTTCTACCACGGCTCTATTGTGAAAGGCAGCCCAGGTCTAAAAGTCGCTCCACGCGGACGTTTGAGCCCGGCGGTCGGAGGAAATGCAGGTAAGGCCGAGCGTGGAGGCTCTGTGAGCCCCATGTTCTGCTGGGGTGTCAGTAGAAATGTAGCTCCACAGCTAGCTCAGCTAAGCTAAGCTAAGCCGGGCTCCCCGCTTCATAACACGTGTCGAGCAGAGTGCGGCGTGGGCTGATTACCTGGACAAAACCAAACACATGAGAAGCTTTGGAGGACCACGTGTTTAGTCCTCCGTGGGGAAACCTTGTAGATGCGTGGGTTTCAGTGCAGACCTGCTCAGATAGTCAGGCTGGGAGGCAGTGATAGAGGGAAGGACAGACAGCATTGTTTACAGCTAATATATGAAAGCTCAACTGTTTATTCTGTTAAACTGGAATCTTAAAACAATGAGAGGGAAATTTATAGCTTAACTGGTATTATCAGTGCAATGTGTGATTCAGCAATGATGAAAATGTAAAAAGCATTTCATGTAACATGCTGCTGTCATTTTGAACATCTCTGATGTTGCTGCTATTTTCAGACATCCATTGCTGTGAAAATGTCTATAGCTTTCTCCAGGTGCACAGTTTTTATATTGTTAAAACATTTTATTGTTTTATTGTCTTTACACTGTCACAAGTACAGAGCGACGAAATTAACTCTCTGCATTTAACCCATCCCTTTGGGGAGCAGTGGGTTGCCATTGTGGGGCGCCTGAGGAGCAGTGTGGGGTTAAAGGAATAGTACACCCAAAACATGATTAGCCTTAATTTTCTACTTACC